CCAAGAACATCGATCTGCCGCCGACGCTCATCAGTCGTTTCGACCTGGTCTACCTCGTGCTGGACAAGATCGACGAGGCCAACGACCGACGCCTTGCCCGCCATCTGGTGAGCCTGTATCTGGAGGACAAGCCGGATACGGGCGGCAAGGATGTACTGCCGATCGAGACGCTCACTGCCTACATCTCGTACGCACGCAACCGCATCTCGCCCGTGCTCACCAAAGAGGCAGGCGACGCGCTCGCTGCGCGCTACGTCGAGCTGCGCAAGGTGGGCGAAGACCCACGCAACGCCGAGCGCCGCATCACCGCCACTACGCGACAGCTCGAGTCGATGATCCGTCTCTCCGAGGCACATGCGCGCATGCGTTTTGCCGACGAGGTCATCATCGACGACGTCGAGGAGGCCGCACGTCTCATCCGCGAGGCAGCCAAGTCTTCCGCCACCGACCCGCGAACGGGCCTGATCGACCTCGACCTCATCAACACCGGCCGCTCGTACCACCAGCGCAAGCTCGCCGGCGACCTGCGCCGCGAGGTGCTCCAGCTGCTCGACGAGATGGGCAGCACCTCTGGCAGGGCCACCTCTCCGTCGGGTCCTTCGTCCACCGCGCCTACCAAGGCGGTGCGATACGTCGACCTCGCCAAGGCACTCAACGACCAGTCGTCCGTGCCGGTCGACCCAACCGACCTGTACGAGCTCGTGCGCACGCTCGAGAGCGAGGGCGTCGTCAAGACCGCCGGCGAGCGCGAACGCAAGACCGTGCGTCGCATCAACGCTTAGTCTCCAATTTCCATCCTGATTCCCCTTGGTCTGCTTCCCCTTGTCACTGCTGCTCCGTGTTCCCGTTCCTGCTCGTGTCGTGTAGCTATACAGAATCGTGACCATTTTTGACGCAGATTAGCAAGGAGTGGCTGTGTTGGAGAGCAGGCCTTTGGCTTCCAGCGACTGTGAATTTGGTGTGGCTGCTCGGGCTCTTTTTTTGACGGTTTGTGGAGGCCTGACGGTGCGCGCGCGCACAGTCCATCGTGCACCTGGCAGCTACGCGACTCAGCCGCCGTGGCTGAGCGGACCCTGAGAACATCCAAGCGAGCTGCTCGTCATCACTTCCATCCGCACCACATCCACATCAAGACGCCCACATCAGCATGGACGAAGCACTGCCCAACCCACCGGCGCAGCTCAAGGCGCTGCTGCCATTCGTGCAGAGGGCCAACGAGCTGCGCACCGCCGACAAGGTCATCGCGTACTGGTGCTGCTACTACGCCGCCCAGCTCGGCATCTCTGGCAATCCCAGCGACAAGGAAGCCAAGATGTACCTGCTCACGCTGATGGATACGCTCGAGGACCTCAAGTCCAAATTGGCCGACAACGACGCCGTGACCAACGACGCTGCCAGCTCGGCGTACGTCGAGAACTTTGCGCTCAAGGTGTTTGTGGGCGCCGACAACCAGGACCGCGCCGGGAAGGCGACCCGAGCCACCGCCAAGACGTTCCTCGCAGCGAGCCAGTTCATCGAGCTGCTCAAGATCTTTGGCACGATCGAGCCCGAGATGCAAGAGAAGATCAAGTACGCCAAGTGGAAGGCGGCCGACATCGCCAAGGCGTTCAAGGAGGGCAGGAGGCCCACACCAGGCCCCGCGGGCGGAGATCCCAAGCTCGAGGCAGCGAGCGTCGAGGCAGCCATGGGCCTGGAGGCGGTCACCAAGGACGAGCAAGAGTACCTGGCGCGCGAGATGGCCAAGCTGACCACGGGCGCGTCGGACGAAGCTGTCGCCGGCGCAGGCGCTGGGGTCCCGGATGTTGCTCATCTTGGCAAAGAAGCTCCGGCAGCACCGAGTACGACTATTGTTCCGTCGATCGCTGCGCCTCCGTCTGATATGGCGCCTCCAAGCGTTCCTAGCCTATCCAGAGGCAGCAGCTCCGGCGGTCAGAATGTGGTTGATGCCGCAAGCGTGGCAAGTCAAGGCCGCGGGAGTGCCTCGCCGGATGCCGAGGAGATGTGGAAGAGGAGGAGCAGCGAGCAGTCGGGTGGAGCCATGTCGCGAAGCTCGTCTACGCACCAGCTGGACTCGAATCGCCCGCAACTGCCGGCATCGACCAGCTTTGTGGCTGGACAGGGCTCGAGTCCTGGCTCTCGTCCGCTGCCAGTGCCGCCGCAGAGAGATGGTCTGCCGATCCCTCCTGTGAGCGCGCACCACCAATTCGGCGGCAGCCCAGGCGCGGATCAGGGCATCGGGCCCGGTGCGGCACCGCCTCCGTTCTGGGGTGCCTCGGCACCGCTGTCGGGCAGTCCGCATCTGTCGGACGGAGACGAGTCGGTGCTGCCATCAGTGCCATCGGACCATCCTCCATCGTTGAGCAGGCTCGATAGCCATCCCGCCATTGAGCGTATCGATCCGCCACGTTCACCCTCGCATTCTCAGCTGCCAGCGTCGCCAGGGCAGGGATCGATGTTGCCCCACGAGATGACGGGATCTCATTTGGCCTCCGCGCCGCCGAGTGCCCCTTCTTTCATCACGGCGCCGAGTGTGCATGCCAAGGCACAGGCACCGGTAGCGCCACCGATGGCGGTGCCGATTGCGCCTGCGATTGCGCCGCCAGCCTTTCCGGAAAGCTTGGATTCCAGACTGTCGACGCGCGTCCAGAAGCTCGCCAAGGGCGCGGCAAGTGCTGTCGACTTTGAGGACCTCGAGACCGCACGGCTGCAGCTGCGACAGGCACTCGACATTCTCGAGGGTCGAGTCACCCGCTAGATCTTCGTGCGTCAGGTACCGCTGGGGTAAAGAGTTGGCTCGCTCCGAATACTACCAGCATGTCCAACGATTCGCGGCCGCCGTTCGGGAGTGGAAGCAATGCAAAAGAAGTCTCTTTGGTTTGCGGGCATGTTGCGCTGCTTGGCTTGATAGAATCGCAAAAATCATTTGGTCATTGCTTCGTCACAGAAGTTGCTGCTTTGTGCATGTGTGCGAGGGCGTGATCATGGAAACATGGGCTCAGGGCATGGCAGAAGGTGTGGGCAAGTCAGTGTTGCACGTAGGTTTCCGGCGGGAGGCCGAGGGACACTGGGTGTCAAAGGTACGGTCGAGCGATAGGCTGGACAATAGCAAGCTTTGGCGCGAGTGCGCGAACGCGTGTGCGCGTCCCCGAACGATCCAGATGAAGTTCAGGCTGTGCTTCGGACGGTATGCGGTATTTTTTTTGTCGCCGTCGCATCCTGAGATTCTTCGGAACGTCGTCACTCGACGGATCTCAGCGAAATCGGTCAGAAGATCGTGCTCCGAATTGCTTCGGGACGGATTGGGTTCGTTCAGTGAGCTTCGGGCGACTCGGCTCGAGCTAATCCCATGCCCCGTGATACGTTGAGAGTCGAGCTGCCCGATGCCGATTGCGCTGACCTACAGACTCGCGGTGGGACCGTGGGACCCAACTTTACCGACTTCATACCAACTTTGTCGCTGCCAAGTCGCTGCGAAGTCGCTGCGCTTCCACACATTTCCTTGCAGGCTTCGTCAAAAATCTAACTCGACAGCCCCATTGTGTGCTTGCGTCATGGCAGTGTTGCGTTTCTTCGCATTGATCCGCTCAACTCTACGGTGTTTTGCTGTCTGTACACTGTCCTTACCATTCAGAAAGCCTCCAAGGTGCTCGTGTGAGACGACTTGATATCGTGCGGTGTGATCGCACGCGCGAGGAAGACCGAGCATGGGAGCTGCTTTGGGTGTACAACAATTCACTGCTGAAGATGGCGAGGCGAGGTTGACAACGGACCGTGGGCTTAGGGCGAACGAATGGCTGCACGCTTGTGCTGAGATATGGTTCAACCCACTCTGGCTGCATGCAGCTGTCACCCTGCCACTTGACCGTTTGTGCTGGGACGATCCAGCCAACGGAGCCAAAATCCTTCGAGCCTGAGCTCAATCTTGTGCAACGCAGAGATATCTTTCGTAC